GATTTATAAAACTTATATCTTAAAATTCTAAACCCTAACCTATATCTTAAAATTCTAAACCCTAGAAAATGTTTTGACACCTAAAATCCCCTAAACACTCAAAACTAAACCCTAATAGAACATAATTAACCCAAACATAAATATTATAAAGAAAAAATAATTTTGAAAAAGTGGCATTTTTGTAAAGATTTCAAAAGTGTGTCATTTTTATAAAATGACACTTAAAGAATGGCATTTTTGGAAATTTCTCAACAATTAATTCGCCAATAATTTGTGAAGTATGTAAAATTTTGTTGTTGTTTCGAGCATAAAAAATGTTGATGTTTCACACATTTTTTTTTAATAGGGAAAAACCATTAATTAAATGTGGAAGTGTTTTTAGCAAAAAAAAAAAAAAATTTGGAAGTGTATCCTACATAGAACTACTACGTACATGAAGGTAGATAAACTAATCTTGTCATGTATGTTAGTGTTAAGATAAAAGTTGCACGTGCGGTTGTAATCTTGGAATATTCAATGCTTTCCAGTTAGAAACATTATAATTCATTAATTAAATTCGGATTAAAAAGGGGATTATTCTTCGATTTCTATATTATTCATATGAACCTATTGCTCTCCCAATTAGTCGGGCCATAGATGTGATGATTTACTTTACAGATGAGATTTCTGGTATCTTGATGTCGAACATGTGAATAAAATACGTTTGATAATTCTTCTGTCTAAACAACATCTTTGGCATATATTATATTCCACAAAAGTTCAGTCTAGTTCCAAAGTTTCTGATAAGAACACAAGCGAAAGGTGTCAAAGTTTAGGGAGGATCGAACATCGAGTAAAACAAATGGGCCTGTAATATCCACAATTCTCGGCCCATGTTGGAGTAAAAAGAGTAACGCGTGGCCGCAAATTTGGAAACGTATAATATAAAACAGAAAAAGGAATTTATACCCAAAACGGTGCCGTTAAGAAGAGAGGAACACAAGCGAAAACCCTAGCGTCTTTATCTGAGCCAGCTTTCATTTTGGCTTCTCACACACCATCTCCCCCAAATCGTGTCACAATTTTTCTTAAACCCTAATATTTCCTCTTAACCTGTTTTCGATCTTCGAGAGTTTTCCAGAGATGAGTTCCGACGACGAAAGAGACGAGAAGAAGGAGCTGGATCTTACCTCTCCTGAAGTTATTACCAAGTACAAGAGCGCCGCTGAGATCGTTAACAGTAAATTTCTCCCCCTCTTTTCTCCTTGTTTTGATTCCGTTTTCCGATTCGGATTAGGGTTTTCACGGTTATTGCTTTTTGTTTACTTTTTGGTTATATTGGGTTGGAATTTGCAGAGGCGTTGCAGGTTGTTTTGGCTGAATGCAAACCAAAAGCTAAGATTGTTGATATCTGCGAGAAAGGAGATGCTTTTATCAAAGAGTGAGGATTTTTACTCCCTTGCTCAATTTGTGTTTTTGTTTTTTTTCAATGCTCCTGGATACAGATTTGATTGCTCATATATTTGCTTTTGTTCCGTTTTTTTTTTTTAATGTATAAAGGCAAACAGGGAGCATGTACAAGAATGCTAAGAAGAAGATTGAACGAGGTGTTGCTTTTCCGACATGCATTTCTGTGAACAACACTGTAGGTCATTTCTCTCCACTTGCTAGTGATGAGACTGTGTTGGAAGAAGGTGATATGGTGAAAATGTAAGCGTTATTTCTTACTGTCTGTTTGGACTAATACCCTTTTTTTAGATGTGTCTTTTGTTTATATCTGATTGCTGTTTTGTCGTTCTCCGTTGCAGTGATATGGGATGTCATATTGATGGGTTCATTGCTCTTGTTGCCCATACACATGTTCTTCAAGAAGGACCGGTTAGTGGACGCAAAGCCGATGTTATTGCAGCTGCAAATACTGCTGCTGAAGTTGCTTTGAGGCTCGTACGTCCTGGGAAGAAGGTAACAAGTCAGTTGTATTGTGTTACTTTTAAATGAAAGTTTAAATTATAGGCTTGTGGTATTATATTTGATTTCTTGAGTGATTGATAACGTTTTTGCAAACCCCAGATGATGAACAATTATTGTTGGCTGTGGATTTATTATCCATATGATGCTTTTTTTTTGTCATAGTTACTCTTATGGGAACTTTTTAATTCTAATTTTTAGTATGGTCCCAAGTAGATATGTTTTTCAGTTGTCCTTTCCCAAAGATGTGCTATATTATTGATGCTTATATGTCATCGTTACTTTTATACGGGGATGTATTGCTAATGAGTTGGTAGTTTCTTGTTCAACCCTACAACATTACTACAATCAAGATAATTGAAAATCTGTTTTGTGTTTTTTTTTCTTGTGGCAGAACAATGAAGTCACCGAAGCTATTCAGAAGGTGGCTGCAGCTTATGACTGCAAAATTGTTGAAGGTGTTCTCTCCCACCAGTTGAAACAGAAACTGATAGATGGAAGCAAGGTTATCATAAGTGTATCCAATCCCGAAACAAGGGTTGATGACGTGGAATTTCTAGAGAATGAAGTCTATGCAATAGACATTGTGGCAAGCACTGGTGATGGCAAGGTAATTGCTTTTGTTGATCTCATCTTGATGGCACATTGGTGAAGCTTTGTTCTATTTCCACTGTTCTCACAATCTTCAAATTTGCAGCCGAAGCTATTAGATGAGAAGCAAACAACTATTTACAAGAAAGATGATAGTGTTAACTATCAGTTGAAGATGAAGGCATCCAGATTCATAATCAGTGAAATTAATCAGAACTTCCCCTACATGCCATTCACTTCAAGGTGTCTTTTGTACCTTCTTAAGCATTTTACACATTCTTTTAAATATTATTTCAACTACTAACTTGCCTGAGAATATGTTCAACACAGGTCACTGGAGGAGAAAAGGGCACGGCTTGGACTTGTTGAGTGTGTGAACCATGGTCATTTGCAGCCATACCCTGTTCTTTACGAGAAACCTGGTAAGGATGATGAAAAGTTCTTTGATCCGTAAACCTCTTTGATCTGAATCTTGACATCGGAGCTCATATCATATTTGGTTTTTTCAACAGGGGATTTTGTTGCCCAGATTAAATTCACAGTTTTGCTGATGCCAAATGGATCTGATAGAATCACTTCACATACACTTCAGGAGCTTCAACCTACAAAGACCATCGATGACCCTGAGATCAACGGGTGGCTAGCCTTGGGTTTCAAAAAGAAGAAGGGTGGTGGCAAGAAGAAAAAAGGTAAGAAATAAAAAAATAAATTTTCAGACTTTACCATAAATTGTGATCTACATTTTGGAGTCGTGAGAAAACAAGATTTCATGAATGTTGTTGCAGCCAAGAAGGCAGGAGAGAAAGGAGAGACCTCAACGGAGGCTGAGCCAATGGATGCAAGTAGTAATGCTCAAGAATGAGAAGGAGATTGATTTCTCTTTTGTTTCTTTTTAAAGAATTTTTGAAACTTTGAGGTACCTCTTTCTTTGTATGTTTGGATTTCAGAGTCTTCTTAGAAAAAAGAACACAAAAAGTACTTATCTACTTGTGTTTTTTTTTTTTTTCTGCACAACAAACCCTTTTCTGAATGTTCATTGGCACTGATCTGCTTGAATTGGGTCCTATATTTGGTAGCCAACAAGTCGTATATGGATCAAGCCAATAGCTTGAATGCGGTTCAAATCCCTGTTTGAACTACTTACATGGTTGTAACATGGTAAAAGGATTTGATTGAACCAGATGCATCTTCATTTGCAAGTTGCAAGTTGCATGCCGTAAAACCTTGATTACTTACCATCACTGTGCTCGGATCACGGATTGAGAAATGAAGCATTAGTGTACCAAGAAATCTTGTAACAATCTAGTCATTTCTTTTCCTGTTTTCAACCGGAAATCAAAATCTGTTAAAGATCTGGAACAGGATTAGAAATGATACCTACCCCCTAATTGCAACTATTCTGATATGGAACGAGAAATCGGAATCGGAAACTTGGAATTCAATGAGAGTTTTGTCTATATTTGAACCAAACTATTCATTTATGTATAATAAGTAGAAACAAAGTACGTATAGAAATGCTTGTATAAATGTGAATGGAAGAATTACTCTTCTAGAGAGAAGTTTATGGAGGCAAGATTTCTTATTGGCCCTTGTTTATGTTATCTACTCCGTGACTTAACCCTCCGAATCACGTAGAGGTTTCTTCGCAGTGGGGGCGGCTCGTGGCCTTTTCTAGTTTCCTCCGAAAAGAAAACCTCATAAACCTCTCTCTTCACTTTCTCGGAATTTTCATCTACGCGAGGAAAATATTTTCTCGGCTGGATTCTCTGCAAAATTCAGAAAAATGGCAGCTAGATTCACGTTTCGTCGGAGTTCTCAGATCCTCCGATCTATCCAAAGACACCCTCAAATCTCATCACCATCATCATCCTTCGAATCTCCGTCACCGATTCTTTATTCGTTGACCACCGCCTCACCAGATCTATCCCGATTATCGTCCTTCACTTTCCTCCGATCTCTCTCAATCGCCCGTCGTGGTCCAACGCGTCCCAAGAAGGTCGACATAGGAGCTCGGGCTCGTCAGATGCAGAATCGTCGTCTATGGACATACGCACTAACATTCAGCTGTATCGCTGGTTTCGTTGTCATCGTTCTAAATCAGTTTCAGGATCAGCTTGTCTTTTACTTAACTCCATCGGACGCTATGGAGAAATTCGCAGAGAATCCAACGAAGAACAAGTTTAGGCTCGGTGGTTTGGTTCTAGAAGGTAGCGTTGCTCAACCTGCGGCGTCTCAGGAGATGGAATTCGTNATTACCGATTTGATTACTGATATTTTGGTTAGGTATAAAGGATCTTTGCCTGATCTGTTCAGGGAAGGTCATTCTGTTGTTGTTGAAGGATTCATCAAACCTTTTACTGATGAAGTAATGAAAGAGGTTTCGACGAAACCTGTATCGCAGAAAGCGAGGAATCTCGATTGTTTCTTCTCGGCGACGGAGGTTTTAGCTAAGCATGATGAGAAGTATATGCCACAGGAAGTTGCGGCGGCGATTGAGAAGAATAAGAAGATCATTGAAGCGAATGAACAAGCGGCTAAATTGGCTTCTTAGATTGGTATAATTTCATGTTCTTTTTTTCCAAAGTTCTGAGCATTTGGTGGGGTTATTGTTCATCTTATGATATACATTTTGATTATAGTTTCTGGTAAAGGAGTAGGGAAGATTGGAATGTTTTATTCCTTGAAAACAGAGATTTGATTTTTGAGTTTATTTGAGAATTAGGTGGAGAAATGAGATTACACTACACAATAGCTTTGTCTCTGATCAAGCAAGGCTATAAGCTAATCTATTTTCTTGTTATATCGATGGAATAAAGAGAACATTTTGACCAGGGATCAAATTCGTTTCTTGGTTTCTTGTGTGTTCACTGTTTTGGATGTTTTGTTTGTTGTTCTTTCTGCTGCACACAGTTTATATTTATCTAGTGATATTAGTATTAGCTTGGATAGGTCTCGTAATTGTAAACATATTAGTAACGTAGAATCTTGGGGTGACATTATTATCATTGGTACTATTGCCAAGAGAGTTAAGAGCACAAATCTTCTTCTAGAGCTTCCTGTTTTGTCGTTCTGGATTTTTCAAGATCTTTCTTTGTCGACAATTGGTTTGGTATTCTTTTTATGCTTAGTATGTTCCAACTAGGGAATTCTGGCTCTGAAGATTTTCAAGTTTGTACTTTCGTGTTGTTTTCAGATCCTCTATTGCCTCTAGAATTTGCAGTTTAAAAGTTTGTAGCCGTAGAATCATGTTATTGGCACCTGTGTTGGCACTTCTCTTGGGCTTGGCACTCAGATCACCAACTAGTACAGTTGTAGTATTTATTGTTCCTCTATTGCTTTTCCATATTTAATTGCATCTCTACATCTGCATGAG